GTAGAGAGGTTTCTCAGGGTGCAGAAACTTTTGAATAAGTTTACATCACTCAAGAAAATAGGTCATCATTTAGGTCCTGAGAAGAGGTCCTATGCTCAGAATCCATGTTGTTCTGACCTTGATCTGTCCTAGAGAGGAGGTGGAAATCAGCCTCAAGCTGTCCACCTCACTCTGTCCTAAGGCAGAGATTGGGTGAGAGCTAAGGACGGTCTTGCAATAATGACATCTGGGGTATAAGTGAAAACTGTTTCGGAACAGAACTGTAGGCCTGGGTAAGAGGAAATCAGTCCTGGGGTCTTTGGGTCCTGCTACTGCCAGCCACCTAGGTCACTCTCTTCAGATACTGACTTGGGGGACACAAGGAGGATTGGGGAAACCTCCACCAGTCTCGTCCAGTCTCGTTTTTGCTTTATAGATGGGGGTGGACAGCATCCTCCAAGATTCCTTCACAGGTACAACTTGAGTAAGCTGGGTCCTTGGATGCTTAGGAAAAGAGCCTTAGTCTCCTTCTCAACCCCTGCATGGTCTAAATATCCTCTGGGGGAAAAAATGAAAAGCCCCCAGGAGGAACTCTTAATTACAATACTACCCTTCAATTATAGCTATTCTGTAAACGAGAGAAAAAGTCCCCTAAAATCCCCTGCGCCTAGCTTTTCTTTTAACTATGGGATCATCCAAACCTTGCTAACTGCTTATAGGATGGACCCAAGGACTCCAGCTGTAGTAGATTTTGGTGTGTCTAATCAAGTTTATTTTAAAAGTGCTTGGTTTCTGCTCAAGCTTCACCTAAACATTATAGTTTAATCAAAAATAATAAACTGGAGAAATTGACCCTCTAGGTGGTCAATAACCGTATTTGGGGACCTACACTGATGCGGGAACTTAACTGTGAAAGAAAGATTTAGAAATGACCCACAGAGAAAACGTTCCCTAACTGTGAGAAGTCACCGTTCTTTTGTTCAGGGAGGCCATGGAGATGCCACTGAGTGCGTCCCAGTCTGTAAAGCTGAGGGTCAATAAAGAGGAAAAAATCTTCATGCTTCCAAATAAAGCAACGGTCAAGCAAGGACTTTGACTTGACCTCACACAGGTGAGTTAACTGGAAAAAGAGACCAGAGGGTCAGAGACTCTTCCCAAACCCAAGCAACTCTCCAAGGACCAGATCTCCAGCTGGCCCTGACAGCGAAGAGAGGGTCATTAACTTTGGCCACCTACATGGTCTTAAACATGCAACAGGAAAGCATGACTTTGATTAATATGGCCAATATCTGTGTTTCTTTCACAATTATGTATTACACTTAACCATATGAGATGTGACTTGGACAACTATTTCCCACCAATGGTTCTTTCCCTGATAACTGTTTCTAGAACAGTACTTCTCAGGATGTAACATGATATCCTGTGTCCTAACCGATCATGTGCCCCAACTAAAGGAGGCTGCCAGATAACCTGTCAGACTTATAGATACTAATTAATGTCTAGTTGTGACTTCAACCACTGAAACTTGGGTTTTATTCAGGTTTGATCCATATTGTCCACCTTCACTGGATATTACAGCTGGTACAAGGGCAGAGACCTGTCAATGGGCCTTCTACGGGATTCTGATATTTCTGGTACACAGTCTAGCCAGCTACAAAATTATGCCTCATCTTATCAAACAAAACTTACCATGGTGTCAAAAATGTTTTCTCATTAACCTTCTCTCTTAACGTTGCTCATGAGGTTGCAGGAGAAGAAAGCCAATGGTTAGTTTCCAAACTTAAATAGGCTGATCAAAGGCTCCTTGAACTCTTCAACTAGACGAATGATCCTCTTCACCATGTCCATCTTGCCATAGACCACAGCAGCAGGGAAATCTCAGGCTCATTGGTACCCACAACTAGTCTGCCAAGGAGTCTTTGGATGGTTTGCTTGCCTGTTCTCTTCCCTTTAATAAGAGCAATGCTGCCCCGGGATTTGCCAACTGTGGGCCCAGTAGGAGTTAGAGGACTAAAAATCTCACATTTTATGTTACAACTGCTCCCTCTCTTGTATGATGAACTCCAGAGATTCTCAGCCACCACCAAATGACCGCTTGATGCTCGCTCTGCTTCGTCACCGTCTGCTAGTTTTATAACCAGTGGCCCCTTAGATAGACTTTCTGCTGAGGCACTCTGACTGCTGCACCCCCATGTTCCCCAACACGTCTAGGTAATAAGGGTGATGAGTTTCCAAGATGGCCAGCTTCTTCATCACCCCTCTGACTTGAGACAAAATGTCTTAAAAAGTCCTTTCAGCTTTCATCTCCCCCAGCAATTCCCCTGATGATGGACTGACTCAAACAACATGCCACACAACAGTTCTGGGTCAAACATCCAAGGTTTTCTCAAAGTGACTAGTCCTAAATTAAGGGAGCAAACCTCTTTAGAGACTTAAAAAACAAAACAAAACAAAACCCAAAAATCAAAACCCAGCTCCCAGAAAGAGACTGGAGTTTTTAGCTTTCCAAGTCCCTCCTCTGCATTGCAGAGGCTCTTTTCCTCTGTGTGCCTACTGCATATGTGTGTGTTTCCTTATCTCCAATAAATGCCCTTCTTCAATTGAAAAAAAAAGGCCAAACAAACAAACAAACAAACAAAAAATGGCCTTACTGAGAACCTCTCCCCCATTTACCCAAAGATCTCAGTAAATACTGGTACAGACTCCACAGAGACTAACGTGGTGGTGTTTGGATGTGCCAGCCCTCAGTCCCTCTCTACAGAGCACATCCAGGATGTTTCCACTCACAGGGCTATATGAGGGGACAGGACTCGAAGTCCTTCCTGATATTTGTATCCTGGTACCTATTATTAGCTGGTAAATCCAGCCCACATTAGTTCCAGGGACATGGGTATCTAGGGGGCAAGAATACCCTTATCAAAGGACCAGATCTTTCTGTGTGCAAGGCGGCCAGGCTATAGATCATGCAAAGCTATAGGTAAGTTCACGCCTGGCCGAGTGGTAGTCACGGCTCACTATCCTAAAGAAGGGACACCCAAGTTAAGCTTTGGAGAGCCAGGACTGGCCGAGGAGCGATACCTCCAAAGCCAAGAGCAAAGGTACAAAGCCTGGGGCCCATAGCCCTGGTGGTTACTGTCTTCACAGGTTTGGTGTACGGCTCTCGGCACTTCCGTTCGTTCCTCCCCTGCCTCTCTCAGGGTCTGACTGTGAAACCCAGCCCCCATTGTGTCTCTTTAGGTGAAGACTACACAGTGTTAGGGGACAGACACAGCCGTGTGTCTTTTCTAGGTTACCTTGCCTGAAAGAATGTCACAGACACAAGGGAATTTGTCTTGTTTGGTTTCAAGAACACAGAGCAACAAAACTCGCAGGAGGCCCTTGATCCTACTGACCAGTTAAGCTAATTTGAGTGGGTATAACGGGCCACATCCAATTGCACACCGTGCTTGGCTTCTATTTGAGCTATGTTCCTAGCAGTGTGGACTCATCTCTACGAACACAGAAGGTTGTGGGTCTTCCTCTAGTGTCCCAGTGAGCTACTTGCTGTCACACCCCATTGGATGATTTCCTCTACTACCTACCTAGACCAAGAAACTGGGTAGCTTTTGGCTGCCAATGCCTGGAGGTTGGGAGGAGGGAACAGAAATTAGTCTGGCCAGTGATGAGAATCTCTCCATGTGCTCTTCACTGAGCAGGAGAGAGGAGACATTAAGCAAACAGTGATTCTGGTTCTATAGATGTTGGCCCTTATGCAGATGGCACCCTCCAATCTTTGCTCGTCATGGTCTGTCATTGCTAGAGCTGTCTACAACAGGAGGGGCACATTTGGTGACCACATTGCCGTTGCACGAGCACCTGTTAGCTATGGCCTTTTCTGGGTGTGAAGACCTGTGGCTCTGTGGAGTCTCTGAGGGCTTTGTGTCACAGTGCTTGGCCTTGCTTCAGCATTCAGTTATCCTGGTAGCCTAACTAATACCCATACACCCTGGCAATTGTCCCCTTGTTGTGTGTGCTTTTTTTCTCTTTTACTAAAACAAAAGGAATTCAAGTATTTTCTTTCCACACACTTGGACCAGCATGTCACCGGCTCCCTTGGCCCATGATGAGACTCTGGTCAAGTGGGGTGGGAGGGAGGAGAGGAAAGAACAGAGAACTTTATCCAGGTCCCCTCTTGTCCTTGGGATGAGGATAGGGAAGGGGTGGGGACAGGGGTACCCAGCGCAGGACGACCTGATGCCCAGTCTTTCATCTCTGCCTGCTCCTGCCAGATCCTGTCTTCTAGCCTGTGACTTCTAGTGGTAGTACATATTCTCCACTTTAGGAAGGGAACAGTTCATCAATGGGGCAATGCTGCCTAGTCATGGTGCTGATGGTCACAGTGAAAAGCCTTCATGATGGCAAAATGACAAATTTTTAGATAAACCCGAAAAGGACCCGTGTTGGATATTTTCTAACCTTGGCAGTCTTTGTTTCTCTATGTCCAATAGGAAGTCTTTTTGTTTTAATTTTCCCTGTCAGGGAGACAATTAATTCAGGCTCCCCTATGCACGAGGTCCAGATGTCAAGGGCCTGTTCCACCAACCCATCGCAGTGAATAGGAATTAATCAACACCATTAGAGGGAAATCTCCCACTTAGACTTCAGGCTCTTTCTTCACAGCCCGATGGAGATTTCATACCTTTTATGTGGGGCAGACCGCAGCTTTCACCTATTTAAGGAATTTTTCAATTAACATTTCTTTCCCTCCAGAGAGACCAGGGCCTTTGGTTTCCCACAAAAGGCTGGCTTTGCTTTGCCTATAGCAAATGTGTTTAGGCCCGGCCCTCTGGGCTGAAGGCCCTATTATTTGTCTATGATGATTCAGTTTGGCAACCCCCCCTAATCAATAGCTGATCAGTGCCCAGCAGGGAGTCTCCGTATTCAGACCCTCTCACAAGCTAAAATGGTTTCCTTTTGAATAAAATCACTCCTAGGTCGAATTTTAAATCCATCTAATTGGCAGTTTTCTTTTTTTTGAACAGAATAGAAAAGATATGTAAGCGAAGGAAGGGAAAACCCGACGGCTTTGATGGCAGTTGCTTCCATTTCTTGCAACCTCAGGTTTGCTTCACAATAATTTTTTCAATACCACAGTTTTTCTTAAATAAATATCTTGCTAATTGGAACTCTTAATGGTATTGTCATTCACTTTAGATAAAATTCTTATTAAAGACTGTGTAGATTTCAAAATCTTGTATCAGAATGTGTATTTAATCTCTTAGAGATGATTTTAAAGAGGAGTTGTCTTTACTGACGAGCAACATTTAGCAAAGAATTCAAATGATTTTACTAACTTTTTTTTCATTTATATTAAAAGGATTTTTGAAGTTCAAAGTTAAGAGCCTTTGATCAGGAAGATGATGTTTAAATCCACCCCAGAATGAGAGGTAACTGCACAGGAGCAAACGTCGCTGCCCAAGGTGAGCAGTTGGGTTGGCTGACCGCTCAGGAGGCCTCACGCTAGCAAGGGTGTTGCTTGTGCCAAAAGCCAGCTGTGCCTCTCTGAGTTCAGAGCAAAGAGCGTGCAGTGGTGAGCCAAGCTTTTGTCAGGGGGGAGGAAAAATCAGACATTAAAAGAGAGGGATTTCTTCTCTACGCTCTCGATTTGAACCTCAAGAAATAATAATAGAAAAGCTAACTTAATTTATGAAAATCTACCTGAATTAGGAGCTTTGGTGAGTTGGTTGCCTGGTGGCTTTCTGTCTATGACTAGTCTTGCATGAAAAATACACTTGTGTTTGGGTGGCTGAGATGGTTCATCTCTTGCTATGGAAGCCTGGCAGTCTAAGTTTGGTCCACAGAACCCACGCAAAGTTGTAAGGAGAGAACCCATTTTCCCAGTTATTCTCTGACCTCCTGCCCATCATGTACATACACATATAATAATAATAATAATAATAATAATAATAATAATAATAATAATAAAAGAAGTATGTTTCGAAGTGATGTTTTTAGGTGGCCTTGGACTGGGTAGAAGGTCTAGAGGCTCTTTCTGGTTTACTTTCTGCTTCTATTCCTCTGATGCTGTGACATTTGGAGACTGTCGTAAAGCTAATGTTTTGGCTGAACACAGTAAAAATGAGGGCTCAGACCCAAGAAAATACATAGGACACTGAAGTTGCTCCCGAATAAAAGGTCTGCTGAGTCATGCATTGGGTGGGTGGGGGGGCTGCACTGTGGTCCTTCTGTGTCTTGACTTCACTGTGTTGACTGTGCCTGACTCCATGGTCTGACAACGTTGTCTTCATTGTGTCTAACCCCATGGTCCTCCAGTGTCTCACTACGTGGTCCTCCCCGTGTCTGACTCCATGGTCCTCCAGTGTCTCACTACGTGGTCCTCCCCATGTCTGACTCCATGATCCTCCCATGTCTGACTCCATGATCCTCCCATGTCTGACTCCATGATCCTCCCAGTGTCTCAGTACATGATCCTCCCCATGTCTATCTCCACGATCCTCCCGTGTCTCACTATGTGGTCCTTCCTATGTCCGACAGTTGTTTTTTCTTCATGTCTGAAGTCGTCCCTGTTATTGACTCTGTGTTCTTCCTCATGTCTGAGAACCTCTCTTGTTGGACCCAGTGATCTTTTCCATGTCTGATATGATGTCCCACTTCACATCTGACACACCTCCCTGGTCCTCTTCTGTCTCTGATTTTATGATCATCCATGTCTGGCACTATAGTCTTCTTCATGTCTGGTTTCATAATCACCCTTGTATTTGATCCTGTGTTCTTCTGCAGGTCTGGATCTATGTCCCGAGCCTGTCCTGCCTGCCCTGGAAGCAGATGGAAGGTACAACGCCAAGGCCAAAACTTCACAATAGCTCTGTCAGACTTTGCTCTGAAGAAACTCGATAGAAGAGCAGAACGCAAGAGTTGTGCCTGACCCGGGGTCCCATGTATGATGATGACCCGGGTCATTCGGTGCCGTTAGGTATTGCACACATGCAGGTCCCCTTTCCGTTCGGAGCCATGAGGCCTGAAGGGTGGGGCTATGGGCCAAGTCCTACAGTATGCCATTCAGACTTGGACTTTGCCGAGCTTGAGTTCATGACCAGATGTTGTCTCTTTAGGACAGGACAACGAGGAATACTGGTGGAGTACTTAATCCTGCCTGCTGTCTGTCTGAAACTCTTCCATCTCATATAAAAAAGACCGTAGCGGGGACTCAGAAATCACCCTGAGCCCATAGATGGTGTTTTAGAAGAAAGTAGTCCTGATGTAGTCCAGAAACTGTGTCCGACCCCTTCCCAGCCAAGGCTTGCATACGGTGCCCACTCCTAGGAGAGCTCTCTCATCTTAGAATGTAGAGGACGTGTGGGTCTAGCCTTGGACTCATCAATTAAGATTAAAGAAACTTCAGACAATGATAGAATATAAGGGCTGACATAAATTTGGAATGTCAGATATGAAGAAAATAACTCACCTGCTTAAAGAATTTTTTTTTCTTAGAGAATTTTTTAAAGGACAGACATTTTAGGTATGTATTAGTGAAAATTGCCCTGCCTGCGTGGGGTGTCCCAATGTACTTAGCTTCAACCCACCCACTTGTAGAAAACCGACCTTCTTAAGACCACGGGAGTAGAAGTCTTTTCTTGGGAGCAAGAACTGGAAGGGAAAGGACTAGAAGAACTACTGTAAAGTGGACCAGACAAACAAGAGAGTTTGATACTGTGTTATGGGTGGTGGTTTTATGTTGATGATAGCAATAAAGTTAATTGCACCTAGAACTGATGCATGCTCCAACGTTTGTTTCTCAGACGGGTTTTTGTAACAGTGGCATAGTAATACGACTTGTGGGCACATTAAAGACTTCTGACACCCATTTTTTTTACATTTGTATATTTATTTATTTGCATGTGCATGTGTTTTTTTACCTCAACGTAGAAGGAACAGATGGAAGAGAGTAGGCAGGGTGGAGCCTGGCAGCAGTTCTGAAAGGTAGACTTCTGATCCTGTTTTCCCTTGGAGAACTGCTTGTTCCTCTCTCTCTTTCTCCTTCAGGAACAAGTTCTATCTCTAAGCTTTGGGGGAACTTGCCTCCCTTTCTATGTGTCCCAATCTGTTGATGGTAGCATTGGTACGGTAGGGGGGCAGGATGAAGGAAGGTGGGTGCTCAGTCAGATGGGACTGAGAAAGCCCCAAGAAGTATCTGGTTTTATCCCTGTGCTGGGATTTGGAGAAATTGGGGGTAGTGGGTAAGGTCAGCAACTGTGGCAGAGAAGGAAGACTTGCACGTGATCCCTGAACTCCAAATGTGATACATTGCTGTTATCCAGGAAATGTGCGAATACTCCGCCACTGCCATGAGGGCTGTTTGCCGGGCAGTGGGCATTATCTTTCACTTCAGCTGAGAACTCTTAGCCGTATGCTGAAGGTGCGGTGTGCCTTATAGCAACCAGGATGCAGCAATGAGGACTCTTCTGCTTTTCCAGCCCTTTTATAGATGATGGAACTCTGAGGTCCCCAAACAAGCCCCGGGCTCTTCCTAAGCCCCACACATCCCTCGGAGGGAGCCAAGTGTGTGATCTCTAAATAGCTCCGATGAAGCTGGGATCTAGTAAGTTGCTTTTTAACATGTGCTTTATCTGTGCGCAAAGCTGCCGCCTAGGTCCCTGCAGCCCCTCAAGACCCACACGGCCCCACGTGGCAGGTGCAGAGCTCTGTCTGGAGTCGAGATATGGATCTTGGCACCAGAGTGCCTTGCTTTCCAGGACTGGGCTGCGGCACTTGTGCAGACACACTCGCCTGTCGGCCAGCACAAAGCTAGGGTCTCAATACAGTCCCAAGGCATTGTTCTTGTGGCCACCAGGGACTACCAGCTGCAGAGCTCAGGTTACAGCCTCCGGCAGACCCGTGGTAGTGACTTCCATCATATGTCACCCTCTCTGGTGTCAGTGTCATGTGATCTACTGCTGGTTGCTATTGCTTTTGGGCATGGTCCTTCCCAAGGCCATTCACTCATCCTGTCCCCGAGCTCCTGGCCAGGCTGACTGGGGAGGGTGCTTAAGGGACAGTCAGGCCCTGAAGTCCCACCCATCCTACCACTGACTCAGCTCATATTACCTCCTACCAGAACCTGTTTGCAGCTCACAGTCAAGTTCTCCAAGACCACGATGGCTGGCTCTCAGGTTCCAGAAGCTTCTAGAACAACCACAGTGGAAGATGCTGATTCGTACTTGTAAGTCTTCTATTGTATCAGTTATTTGGTTCCTGGATAGAAGGAGATAATTTGGAAGTCACCATGATAATTTAAAATCTCCTTCCTTTTGTTATGGCTTCCCCTGTTTAATTGTCGGTATCAAAGGTTGATGTGTATTGCATTGAAGCTGAGAAATCAAGGCTCAGTTAAGAATATGGCACAGACCAAATCACCCAGGAAACCACTGACAAGTGGCCACCGGACACTCTGTCATGTCTAGTTTCTTCTATGCCAAAGCAGAAAGCGTCCCACCACTTTGGGATTCTTAGCTTAAGTTTCCAGACTTGTGTCAACTTCTGGGACTCACACCAGTGAGTACTGGGGGAGCCTTTATCTAGTATTGAAGAAGGAAGAGGTAAAGAACCAGTCAGGGAAGGGCCTGGCTCAGCGGGAAGGTTGTATCGGAGGTCTGGGCCTGTTCCTGTTACGTTCAGCCCTGGAGCCCCCATGCGCTATACTCCTGGGGGTCTTGAGAAGGCAAGAAACAGCTTGGAGGTCTGTCGTGTCTGGGTTATACAGACACGGTCATGGGTGGCAGTGTCTGAGCTTGCCAGGTGTTCAGGTCCTCCGGTCATTGTTGTCAATAGCTTTTACGACTTGGGCTGCCTCTTCTTCTCATTTCTTACTTTGCATAATAATTTCTTGTCTTTAACCCTTTGTAGGCATTCTGCCTTCCTTCTCTCTTTCATGACTTCATTTATCTATCAGTGCACAGTTCCTGTCATTATCTGGTCTCTGATCTCCACTGCTCTGAATGCCCGCTCCTTTAGTTCTTTACCTGTATGCACACGTGTGTCTGTCTATTTCCACACATACAAACACGTGCAAATGCGTGCATTTTCTCCCCTCTGCCCAGGATCAGAGTAGATATATGAATGCACATATCCACCTCAGGGTCCCTTCCCCGGGCACCAGAGATTAGACGGAAAATAGCAGCTCACCCTTAATGACCAGATGGTCACATGCCTTGTGAGGAGTACAGAGTCCTGCTCTGGAAACTGGCTGAGCAGGTGTCTCCTCTCTGCTCCATGACAACATGCCAGCTAGCACCCTCTGGGGGACAAAGCAACAATGGGAACTGGGGATGCCCATCTTGTATAGGAGGCTCATGTTCTGTGTGCTCAGGGCTAAGCCCTGGCGTTTCTGCTCCAGGCTGACACTGGACTACTGGCCCTTGGTGTCTGTGTGAGTTCTTAGAAGCAGGTGGCGGCCAATGTCCCCATCCTTGCAGGGCTTTATCTCAGGGGAGTGGGTTCAGCACAATCTGCCCTAGGGGAGAAAAGTTGTGGACCACAGAGGGTCAATTAGTAGGTGATATTTATGGATGAATTGTCTGTTTCTGTGATCTGGTCCGTCTTGATCACCGCTTACTGGCTATGTCTGGGGGATATAGAAGGTGAAGATCCAAATCCTGCTGGTAAATCCTATCTCCCTGTATGACCTGAAGCTATACCATATGTAAACGAAATTGAGACTTTTTGGAGAAGAAGGTGGTACCTCTAAGAAAGCCCGTGACTTTACGCTTTCCTCAGGATTTCGGTTGGTTCATTTCTTGGGTCTTCCTATTGTGTTTCTCTGTCCTTCCTTAGAAATAAAACTTTAAATTGTGTTGTAGAAGTTTACTCAACTTTTAATAAAATGAAGCACACTTAATTTTGGGCAGTTAAGGGGTCACTAGTCATGCTGGGTGCCCAGGAGGCATTGCTCCAAGACAAGGGCTTTTAGAGTTCACACTGGGAAAGTCCTGAGCAAGCCAGAGCACTGGGAACCCAAATTAGGGCATAAATTGACAAGAAATGGTGGGAAGGATACCCTGTTTAAAAAAGGGACTACAGGAAATCAGGAGTCGGCTGGTCATTTCTGGTCATGTAGAGAAGAGCCCTTGCAAGCTGAAAAAAAAAATGACAGGTCTCTTTAGAAAAACATAAACTCCAGTGTTAAATGGAAGCCAGTGGAATGCAGAGAATTTGATGGCAGCAAGCATACTGTAGAGTAGGCAGGTAAGGATGAAAGAGGAAGAGCGTTGTATTCCACACCGGGACTCCATTTATTGAGCCTGTCTATATTTCATGAATTTGTCAAATATGATTTAAGACTATGTTTGTTTTTGTCTGCACCAGCTATGGGTTCCAGGAGTCATTTTTGGATGAGCTCTTCCCTAAGCTCTTGGCTTGGCATGGCAACAGAGAGGATGGGTTGCCGGCATCTGCAAACAGAAGGTTCTTGCCAGGTCATGATAATATTGCAGAAGTTGCGTAGGTGCCAGGAACAGGGGCCGTGGTAGGAAGATTCCACCGGACAAGTGTGAGCTTGTTCAAGGTTTAGAAAGAGGACTTATGAAATATAGGAGGCTCTGCTTTTCAAGTTCACCCTCTGATGTAGAACGTAGGGGAAGGGTGGGCCCCACAGCCAAAGAGGGGTGATAGATGAAGGGAAGGACCAGGACTGAGGCAGACGGTTCAGCTAACAGAGCTGAGCCCGTGTCTCTTCCTCTCCTAAAGTCACCAGTGATGGTTTACCACTACGATAATGGGCTTTTGCTGTGACGCTGGAAAGGATAACAAAAGGATCCCTCTTCTGGTATACAGTTGCTGTTTGAGAGAAATACGCTCTAAGCAGGAGTCTAGTTATTAAAAAATGTGACCAAAGTCTGAAAACCAAGGAGCAGTGAGAATCTATGTACACAAAGCCTGTAACGTCAAAAGTCTAAAATGCTGTGGGTGAAGTCTGCCCGGGAAGGTGAGTCCAGGGTGTGTGGGTGGAGACAGCGAACAGGGGCTGGGCACGCGTGTTGGCACCCTAGATTCCTAGGTAGGGCCAGCGTGGGCCCTCTCGTAGCCAACCGTCTGCATCTGGCAGGAAGAGATGTTCACCAAAAGATTAGCCTGTAAGCCGGGGCCTGCTCCACACCAAGCAAACATTGGGAGTGCCGGGCGTGACCTGTGTCTCAGGACTGCTCCAGGTAATTCTTCTGTCTTCAGCTGCTCTTCCCTCTGAGCTGTTGATTTTGGAAGCTGCGCCTCTCCATGACTAGATTGCTTCATGTAATCTCAAGCCCTTCCCAGCTGATAACATTCTTATGGGGTGACAGCAAATGTCAGCTCTGCCTCTGCACACCTGGGGACCCCAGAGTCCTACAGACACCAGAGACTGGCTTGAGAGACAACCCTGTGCCATCTGACACCCGTGAGCCAACTTGATTTTAGGGGCCAGGTATGCATGCGGTGAATTCATTTCGCCTTATTTGATGTTCAGAATGGGTGTCACCTGGTCTCCTGGGCCTAGAAATTAATGGTCTATAGCTCAGGCACTTCCCTCCCTGAGTCACAGGCTGCCTTACCACTACCTGTGAGCAGATTAGACCTGTGCGGAGCCCTCGGGCCCTTGGGCTCAGGCTGCTACAGGCCAGGTGAGAAAGTGAATTCCTGAGTCAAATAAATACTCCTGCCTCCAGCATGGTAGGAATTTGAAGCTGCAGGCCAGGCCAGGAATGCGGGGCAGAGAAAGGTAGGCGAGCTATCGGTGAAGCAGGCATAGACTTGTTTCAGTCTGGCCCCCACAGGCCAGGGGTCTGGGCAGTCAGAAAGGGCAGGGCCTGAGAGTGACCAGGCAGGCAGGTGGCACCCTGCCTGAATGCGTGATTGTGGCTGCTTCCTCCTGTCTCTGGGATATCTCACTAGAAATCATGAGCAGAGACGCTGCCTTCAGGAGGGCCGTTCTGGGAGAAGCTCAGACCTTGGGACCAGCCAGATGGAAAACTATCCTTTCTGAAGACAGAAGGCTTTTGAGATCCATGCTGACTGACTATTACAAGAGCCGTACGACCTATAAGATTTTGCTGCTGGGCCAGGAAGTCCCTCTAGTTGTTACGCTGGCAGCTACAAAGACCCCACCATGACAGCATGGGTCTTTTCTTCACAAAGACACAGAACTGTTACTGTACTAGGAAAGGGTGGAAAAGTCAGCGTCACGGAATAAAATTCTTCTCACTGAAACTAAATATCTTCTTATTAAAAAACATTAAAACTTTCCATGTGCTTGCTGGAAGTACCCTGCACTCTGGGCTCTCTCAGGTTCTGTGGGAGGTAAGTCTGCTCTCAAGGAGGTGGAGGCTTCTGGAGTAGCACAGAGTAGCACAGAGCCCTGCTTCTTGACTGTGGGGAAGCTCTCAGCTTTCTGAGTGTCTCTGACACTCATGTCCGTACCTTTCCTCTTTCCAAATAACTGAGTTTGGAACAGCTAAGTCGTGCAGATGTGCAGGGCCAAGGCTACCCTTGGCTTGCGGGGGTAAGTGTGGAGGGATCAGATATATGGAGGGTCTTGGTATGGGGGATATAGGTGTGTGGAGGGGAGGGTACAGGTGTGTGGGGGCCTAAGCCTAAAGACTCGGGTGTAGAGAGCCCAGGTATGGAAATCTAGGTGTGTATAACATCCAAGAGTGTGATGGGCTTAGGTGTGGTGGGCACAACACTTGCCAGAAATCAAGAGCACAGAGGGCTGCCTGCACCGTCCAGAGCTGCCATTGTTGAGTAGGACCATTGGGGACATCGCTGATATAAGGTGACACCCGACTTTCCCTCCTCCTCCTCCTCCTTCTTCTCCTTCTTCTTCTTTTTGGTTTTTTGAGACAGAGTTTTTCCGTTGCTTTGGAGCCTGTCCTGGAACTAGCTCTTGTAGACCAGGCTGGCCTCGAACTCACAGAGATCCTCCTGCCTCTGCCTCCTGAGGGCTGGGATTAAAGGCGTGTGCCACCACTGCCTGGGCTCTCTTCTTTTTCTGTGTGTGTTTATTTCCTTTCTTCCTCTGTCATGTTTCGTGTCTTCTCTTTTAGATTCTTCCTCCTTCCTCTTTAGCCTTTCATCTAGAGGTTTGTTTTTATTTTCTGATTTGTGTGTATTTTTATATTGAAGACAAAACAGCACAATTTTAGTTATTTTTTAACTTATATACAAAATAGTTTCATTGCAAATGTATCAATG